AGCTTGTTTCGGATTCTGTGTCTCCCTCTCTCTCTGACCCTCCCCTGCTCGCGCTGTCTCTCTCTCTCTCTCTCCTAGAAATAAATAAAACATTAAAAAAACATTAAAAATAAATAAATAAATAAATAAATAAATAAAAAAAGATTGGAGCGCGTGGGTGGCTCTGTCAGCTGAGTGTCCAATTTTGGCTCAGGTCACAATCTCACGGCTCATGGGTTCGAGCCCCACATTGGGCTCTGTGCTGACAGCTCAGAGCCTGGAGCATGTTTCAGATTCTGGGTCTCCTTCTCTCTCTGTCCCTCCCTCACTTGTGCTCTGTCTCTTAAACATAAATAAACGTTTAAAAAATTAAAAAATAAGAATAATAAAAGATCTTTAAAAAAAAAAAAAAGGCCTGAGGTACCTGGGTGGCTCAGTGGTTAAGGATATGACTTCAGCTCGGTTCATGATCTCACAGTTTATGAGTTTGAGCCCTGAGTTGGGCTTTGTGCTGAGAGCTCAGAGCCTGGAGCCTGCTTCGGATTCTGAGTCTCTCTCTCTCTCTTTGCCCCTCTCCTGCTTGTACTCTGTCTCTCACTCTCAAAAATAAATAAACATTAAAAACATTTTTTTTAAATGTTTTATTTATTTCTAGGAGAGAGAGAGAGACAGCGCGAGCAGGGGAGGGTCAGAGAGAGAGGGAGTCACAGACTCTGAAACAGGCTCCAGGCTCTGAGCTGGCAGTCAGCACAGAGCCCGACGCGGGGCTCGAACCCACGAACCGCGAGATCATGACCTGAGCGAAAGTCGGACGCTTAACCGACTAAGCCACCCAGGCGCCCCATTAAAAACATTTTTTAATAAGTAAATAAATTTTTAAAACTTACTCATTCATCTTTTTTTTTAATTTAAAAAATGTTTTAATTTTTATTTTTCAGTTGAGCCCAGCATGGTGCTCGAACTCACAACCCTGAGATGAAGAGTCACATGCTCTACTGACTGAGCCAGCCAGGCACCACCATTTGTGTTCTTTACAAAACAAAAGGCTTTTTTTTTTTCTTAGGAGAGAAGATAAAAATGTTTATTAAACAAACAAAACAAACAAAGGCCTGTTGGCAAAAATGTGGAGGAAAGCTTTGTCATACACTGTTGGTGGGAGTGTAATCTGGTTCAACTTTTTGTTAGGCAATCTGGTGGTATCTAGCAAGATTTTAATGAAAGCTCCTATAAAAAGAGCTAATGCCAGATAACAGCAAGAGCTAAAAGAGAGAGTGTTTACTCTTACTTGGAGCACTATTCTGAGTGCGTCATACATCAAACTCACTTAGTATTCAAAACAAACCTATGGGGCAGGTACAACTCTTACCCTATTTTATGGACAAAGAAAGTAAAGCATTGAGACATTAAGTAACTTGTCCGAGGCCACCCAGCTAGTAAGTGAAGGAGATAGGATTTGAACCCAGGTCTTTTCTTCTCTAGCATCTATGCTGTCAGCCACGATGTGCACTGTCCCACCCAGTGTGCCTGTCCTTTGATCCAATACTTCCATGTCTCAGAATCTCCCGAAAACTCTAGCACATGTGCTCAAAGATACATCATTCAGAATACCATAGCATGGTGGCAGTAGGGGAAAATTGGAAACACTTAAATGTCCATTAAAAGGCCATTGGTTAAATAAACTATATGTGGTTTGTTTATATGATGAAATGGAGTTAAAAACAGGATTGATCTCTGTTCTGATATGGGAAGCTATTCATGACAAAAATAACTTGCAGAACTGTCTATTTGTGTATCATGCTTCAGCAAAACCAAGCAAGATTTGTCATTTGTGTGCAAGTGTGTGGCTACCCCAAATATTAGTCATCACCTCTAGAAAATGAGATTAAGGGGAACAATGGAAGGAAGACTTTTACTTTTCACTTGATATATTTGTGTGTTCTTTGAATTTTGGACAAAAACCTATGTACCTTCAATAAAGAGATTTAATTCTTTTTTATTAAAAGAAATGACTCTGAGAGGTTATTCAAGAATATTCCATCAGGAAGAGTTGTGAATAGGGGCACCTGGGTGACTCAGATGGTTAAGCATCTGACTCTTGGTTTCCACTCAGGTCGTAATCTCATGGTTCATGTTTATGATTCAAACCCCATGTGGGGCTTTTTGCTGTCATCACGGAGCCTGCTTGGGATTCTCTCTCTCTCTGCCCTTCCCTGGCTCGTGCTCGCTCTCTCTCGCTCGCTCTCTCTCCCCCCTTCTCTCTCCCTTTCTCTCCCTGTCTCTCTCTCAAATAAATAAATAAACTTTAAAAAAAGTTATGAACAGACCTTCTCTGTCTCCTCAGTGGATCTCATGGCTGGACCTCTCACCAGGGTCCCTCCCCAGCCTGCCCCAAACCCTGAGGATTTTTCATTCCCGTCTCGTTGACCTTCCTGAAACTTCCTAACAAGCTGCTTTCTCACCACACCCTCTCTCCTTGGGATACCTTTCCTCACTGAGTCATCTGCTTGCCTCCTTTACATCCTTCAGGACTAAGTTCAGAGTCACTTTCCCTGAGAAGCCCTCTCCAACCCCCAGGCCAGATTGAAAGCCCCTGGGCTCTCCTGCAGAGCCCTGAGCGTACCTCTTACACCCAGTTTCCCTGAATGGTTGTTTGGTTCTTCTCCCTGGATTCTACAATACAACCCACAGGGTCAGGGACTGTGTTTTCCATTTGTGTTTCTGCTGTGCCTCGTACAGAGCTGATGCCTAATAAATACTCCTTGAAAGGGAGTGAATGAGTGAGTGAATGAATGAATGCATGAGTCTTTACAAGGGACAAAATATTAACCCCTTCCCACCCCTACTGGATCATCACTGGGGAAGGTGAATATAGTTAGGTCCATATGTGAGCCCATCTGTCTGTTCTACTCCAGGTCAACCTGTGTGTGTGTGTGTGTGTGTGTGTGTGTGTGTGTGCGCGCGCGCGTGTGCATGTGCATATACGCATAAATACATATATAAAATTTAGGGCCCCAATGCCATGGATGAGCTCAAAAGAGTCCTGTGTTTACTCAAACAAAGCTATAATCCACTTTCTGACAATTTCTGAAGAACACCTGATAAGATTTCTTTTTCATTACATTCTGTGAATTTAAAAAGGGCAGTAAAATCAGAGTCTAGACTGTGTTTGGGTTTTTAATTTCCTTTATTTTTATTTGTTATTGCTGTTTTTCAGTGAGAACCTCTGCCTACCATGAGCTGCTGGAGTTTTCAGACTTTTTTCCTTGGAGGGTAAAGTCTTCTGAGTCTTTTAACTAACACTGGCTCATACCCAGGATGCAGACTTTCTTTTGGAACCATTTTTATTGAGCTGAAGCAACCAAGAGCAGCCCAGGAAAGAATTATAAGTAGGGATAGAATTAGAAGCAGAAGTGTGGGCTTTCACAGATTTCTTTCAGGAGGGTATATGGTTCTCTGATGCTGGTAAGAATTCTGCTTTGACTCCCCCCACCCCAGGCAGCTGGGGAGGGGGGCAGCTGGGGAGGGGGGCAGCTGGGAAAGGGGGAAGCCGGGAAAGGGGGAAGCCGGGGAGGGGGGTGGCTATTCAGGAAGTGACAATACAGCAGCTACCTAGGGGCTCTGCTTTCGTGCCGCAATATCTTTGTGTGTAAAGTGCATTAATGTCATGTCACAATATTGAGTACTCACAGCCAGGCATTGTGCTTAATGCTTCACAGGCACTTAGTCATTCAAATATTTATTAAGCACCTACTACGTGCAGACACTCTTCCAGGCACTGGGGATATAACAGTGAACAAAATCTCTGTGCTTCAGGAACTTAACATTCATAGACCCTGTCTGCCAACCTCTTGACGTCCACGTTACTGTTACTCCTGTTTGACACACGAGGAAATTAAAGCTGAAATTGCTCTAATAAAATCTGCGCCCAGATCACACATCTAGTAAGTGGCCGAGCTGGGATTCAAATTAAGGTTCCTCTGACTTTCCAGAGCCCATACTTGTCATCACTGAGCTGTGTAGTGTCTCTGCAGAAGGAAATAATAACGACAGCCTATAGGGGTGTTTTGAGGCCAAAGAACGAAAAGCTGGAAAGGTCACCTAGTGCAGAGAGTACCCTGAACACTTAAGAATGTGTAAATAAAAGAGCGAAGAAGGACTTTCACCACTTTGTGGCTTGAGAACAGAGCTAAAGTTGGCTTTGAATCTTTCCCCCTGATCCAAGGCAGGGACGGTCTGTCATTCCGTAGAATCATCTAGTTTTGAGGGCTCCAGGTACATATGTGGGAAATTCAATGTGTATAAGGGACATTGCTCTTTCTGCCTTGCAGTGTTTGTTCAGAATCCTGCAATTAGAGGAGTACCTCTATGTTTGCAGAGAACAGTTCTAGAAACTATATTCATTGAGAGGGTGAGGGTATTAACCTCTCTGTTTGCTCCCCACTCCAGCTCCACCAAAATACTTTGCTGTCACACAGGAATTGACTAGTGACCCTCCAGGTAAAAGGAATATTAGCACAGTGCCTGGCACGAAATACGAATTCAGCAAATACTTGGAGAATGAATGAACAAATAATTTCAACTCATAGTCACGTAACAAGCAGTCAAAGCAATCACACTGGACGTAGCCCTTCCCAAAGGCCAACCGAGTTTTTTCACACACTCAGCTCCCACTGGAAAAATCAGAGGAGGTAAACATATCCCTCAGCACCTTCTCTGAAATGCAAAGACTTGCAGAAAAATGTGGAGCTTCAAGAAGGTTAGAGCGGACTGTTTTGCTGCCGTTCTTCTTGGCAGACTGAGAAATCAGAAACATACTGAGGTGCCCCGTGGAGATGAAAATCATCAGGATCGGGACAAGCCTCACTCAGCCTGAAATAAAGGTGTTGACTTACTCTGGTTTCTAGTTTCTAAAACAACAATTTAAGGCCAGAGGATAGGAAATACTGCTAAGTCTTTCCCCCAGACTCCCCCAGACAGAGAACCCGACTCCTTCAAACATCGGTGCCTGTTTCCCCAGCCCTTCCTAACGTCCTTCCTTTTTAACACACACATGCCCCTCTCCATACACATATTGTCCCTTCATTGCAGTCAGGTCACAGAAAGGCAACTGACTCACTTCTCACCCGCCACCTTCCGAAAAGGCGTAGTAACCTGAATTCCGTTTCCAACAGAGAAGCATCCAGCCAAGGAAGGGTGGCATTTTCAATAGACTCTCACCCCTTAGTATGAACCATTCTAAGTCGCCGGTCTATCCGCCCGCCTTGGTTTTGTCTGTCTGTCTGTCTGCTTCACTGCCACTCAACACATTTGGAGATCCCACTGGACGTCGGCTTGGCTCTGGAGGCTGTTGGGCGCACTGGCCCAGCTCTTGCGACAGAGGTTGGAAGCTGGCATCTCTTCCGGCCTCCGGGTCTTAGAGCGCCCTGGGTTCTTGGGTCTCGAGCTGCAGATTTTGAGCTTGGTGTAGAATTTGGGGAACGAGGGACTCGAAAAATAATACACCAGCGGGTCCAGCATGCTGTTCATGTAGGTGAAGCTGAGGGTGACGTGGAGGGCTACGTGGACGGAGGGGTCACAGGCGCTCGAGGGCACCGTCCAGAGGAAGTACAGCCTGGCCGACACGCTGGGCAGGTAGCACGTGATGAACACGACCGCCACCACCATGATGAACCGGATGGCCTTCTTCATCCGGGTCTGCCGCGCCAGCTGCTGCCTCTGCTTCAGGCTCCAAATGATCTTGCAGGAGCAGAACAGGATGACGCCGAGGGGCAGGAAGAACTCCGCCTGGAACATGATGTCATGCCAGCCGTTGGCCGACTCCATGATGAAGCTCTCACAAGATACGGTGTCCGCGTGCACACACAGGTGGCTCTCCGTCAGAAGATAGAGAGTCCCCAGGATGACCACGGTCCAAAGGGCACACACGATGCCGGCCGCGGTCCGGTTGGAGATGGCGTTCACGGCGTGGTGGGGGTGGACCACTTTGAAGTACCTGTCCACGGCCACCACCGTGAGGAAGACGATGCTCCCGGCCCTGTTCATGGCGAGCATGAAGAGGGCCACCCGGCAGGGAATGTCCTCGAAGGCCCACTGCCGGTGTCTCCAGTAGTAGTCTGTCCGGAAGGGCAGGCAGATCATGAGAAGGAAGTCGGCCACGGCCAGGTTGAAAAGGTAAATAGTGCTCGGCTTCCAGGGCTTCATGCAGAAGCAGAAGGCGCACAGGGCGACGCCGTTGCCCAGGGCGCCCAGCACGAAGGCGACGATGAGCAGCGGCGGCATCACGCGGGAGATGGGGTCCCCCTCGATGACGCAGCACGACCCGTTGTCCATGGTGGACAGGGGACGAGCGTTCTGCGTGCGGGGCGGCCCCCGAGTCCCCCCGAGGGCACGACGCTGCTCTGAACGCTACCCCTCGGCCCGGCCGCTGCTCCTCCAACGTCTTCACGGCGGGTGCGGGCGGACACGCGCGGCGGGTGCGGGCAGTTGCAGCCGCCGTGAGGAGGACGGGGACTTCAGCCAGGAAAGGGGAGGCTCGGGCGGGTCCGTTCTTCCCCGGCTGCCACAGGCCGGGAGAAGCGGCCGGCACCGCCGGCCTTTGGGACGCAAGGGGTCCCTTCTGGGCAGCGGCGCCGAGGCCGGTTCTCCTGTCCAGCCCCCCTCTGGCTCTCCCGACTCCGGGGCGAGCAGGGCTGCCCAGAAGGCACGAAAATAGCTTGTTTGTCCTCCCTCCCGGTGGAGAAATACAAACATTCCCTGGAGCCGTTCTGGGCCCCTGCCTTTGCTCGCCTCCCCTAACCTTTGCCTGACCGCCCCGAGCCCTCCCCATCCCCCATCCCGTGGGGCGCTCCCAGGCGCTGCCAGAGGCGGAGGCCTGGCTCCCGCGCGCTTCCTGTGCCCACACCCACCATACAGCACTCGGAAGTCCGAAGGGCCAGGGGAGGACAGAAGCTCTCTCTAAACACGGCCCTTGTGAGGTGTTACTAGAAAAGTCCTGCGAAGCGGGCGTCTTTCCTGCCCTCCATGCACGCCTCCTGCCTTTTGCATCCTTCCCTGCACCCAAGGGACCCGTTACCCAAGGAGCAGGACCACGCACTGGACAAGAAGCCGCCTCCCATGTGTCTGTCCCCACGCGACAGCCTCTCGGGGAGTCGCTCAGCTCCTCCCTTGGCTGTTTGCAAAAGCCGATTTGGCTCGGAGGTTCCCACTGGCTGGTTAAAAAAGCCAAATACGTGCAACTGAGGACCACGGGGGAGAAGAAGGGGGGAAGTGGTGGGGGAGGGGGAGGGAGGCAAACCATGAGAGACTCTTGAATGCCGAGAAACAAGCTGAGGGCTGATGGATGTGGGGGGGGGGAGGGGCACGGAGGAGGGCACTTGTGGGATGAGCACTGGGTGTTATATGGAAACCAACTTGACAATAAACTATTTGTAAAAAAAAATTTTTTTTTAAAAAGAACTGCAGGGGATGCCCCCCGAAAAAGTCTGAAACCAAGATAAATAATATTTTAAGAAAATCAAAATTAATGTTAAAAAATCTGTGAAACTAACATATCAAAGTTGTAAATAAACACGGGAACTAACTCCACACACACACACACAAAAGCCAAATACCATGATAGATATGCTTTTAATTTTAACTAGCTGCTGAGCCCACTGGTGGGCGGGGTGACGCGTGGGCAGTGGGTCAAGGAGTCTATCTCGAAAATAATCACGGGTAAAATTAGGCTGCACCCAAGATCAGAGTGTTTGCTAAAATTTCCTATCCTTTGGTTTTCTAGATGATCTGTCTGCCCCGTGTCTTTAGGCTCCCAGTTTAGGGAAGGGGAGCAGGGGAGGGAAAGGCATCTGAAGGATGCATATATGCCTTCTTCCAGATGCTGCTTAAAGCGAAGGTCTTTCCACTGAATCCTGGATCCGAGTCAGCCCCACGACCCTGCCCCCGCCCCCATGATCGCTGTCACCTCCCACCTAGAGGAACTATTGAGTTTCCCGGGTGGTTTCCTTTCCTCTAATCTATTCCATGTAATTCCTCCCCCCCCCCCCCCCCGTACCACAGTGCAGTTTTTCTAAAGCACAGATGTGATCACATCCTTTTTTTTTTTTTTTCACTTAAAAACCTTCATTTGCTCTGTTCAAGCTACCAAGGTGATCGCTAAATGTCTTGTGAGCGATCGTCCATTCTAAAGCCAGTTGGATTTGGGCCATATGTTTGTTTATTTTAGATTTTTTTTTTTAAATTTGAAAGAGAGAGCACCAGCAGGGGAGAGGGACAGAGGAGAGAGAGAGAGGAGAGAGACTCCTAAGCAGGCTCCATGCTCAGCACAGATGGGCCACATGTTTTAAAAAGCTAAGACTGGGGTGCCTGGTTGGCTCTGTCGGTGTCTGACTTCGGCTCAGGGGTGTGGGTTTGAACCCCGCATCGGGGCTGTGCTGACAGCTCAGAGCCTGGAGCCTGCTTCGGATTCTGTGTCTCCTTCTCTCTCTGCCCCTCCCCTGCTCACTCTCTCTCTCTCTCAAAAATAAAATAAAAACATAAAAAAATAAAAATAGGGGCGCCTGGGTGGCTCAGTCAGTTAAGCATCTGACTTCGTCTCAGGTCATGATCTCACAGTTTGTGGATTCAAGCCCGTCAGGCTCTGTGCTGACAGCCCCGAGCCTGGAGCCTGCTTCGGATTCTGTGTCTCCCTCTCTCTCTGCCCCTCCCCCACTCTTGCTCTGTTTCTCTCTGTCTCAATAATAAATAAACATAGAAAATTTTTCTTGGGGCGCCTGGGTGGCTTAGTCGGTTAAGCATCCGACTTTCGCTTGGGTCATGATCTCGCGGTTCGTGGGTTCGAGCCCCGCGTCGGGCTCTGTGCTGACTGCCAGCTCAGAGCCTGGAGCCTGTTTCAGTCTGTGACTCCCTCTCTCTCTGACCCTCCCCTGCTCACGCTGTCTCTCTCTCTCTCTCCTAGAAATAAAACATTTAAAAAAAAATTTTTTTTTAAATAAGTAAATAAAAATAAACAAAAAGCTAGGACTGGCCTATAAAAACCTGGATTTCCGACTCCCTCGGAAATCTGGACGATCTGGCTGCTCTGGGCCAACAGTCCCACATCGGAACAACCAGCTGGAGCAGAGAGTAGCTGCTCCCCTGAGAAACGGTAAGAATTCTCCACTTTGCCCCAGTCCCTACTGCTCCCTATTACCTGGTCAGCTTCATTCATTTACATGCCTGGTGTTGGTGGGATTTTAAGTTTGCCACCTCTGCTCTGGGCTAAAGCTCACATTCCTCAGATTGGTATACAGGCCTTTCATGGATGGTTCCCCAACTACCTTTCCAATGTCATTCTGCTACTTTTCTTCCTCATACCTCACTTGTCTCATAACTTCTAATAAATAAGTGCCCATCAAACAAGTCTCTTTAGCTCCCCCACTCATCCAAGAGGCCCTTGAAGACAAAATCCATGTTCTTGGTGAATACCTTAATACGGTCAGGCTGGAATTCTTAACAAATGGAAAACATTCTTCGTCTGTGCGAGCAGAGAGCAGATACTGTCACGATTCTTGTAAACATGAGTGCTTCCCTTTTCTCAAATGTCTAACACAGCTACCTTTCTTTTCCACATTGTTTGTCTTGCCACATCACCTTCTCTTTGTCTCTGACTGCAGAATTCACTGGAAGGGAGAGGATTAAGGAAGAAGACATAGGTTTCCATTTCTCTGAAATCTCCGCTATTGATGATGAGGGAGACTGTGCCTGTGTGGGCATGGGGTGTATGGGAAGTCTCTGTACCTTCCCCTCGGTTTTGCTGTGAATGTAGAACTGCTCTAAAAAAAAAAAGAGTCTTAAAAAGTTTAAACCAAATTTTAGTGCTGATTTATTTTCACTCCTAGCTACTAATCACAGTGCCTGAGGCCAAGCAGAGGCTTTCTTGATTTCAGAATGCTTATTCAATAAACCTCTAAGGTGTTTTTGCTAGATTCTTCCTCCAAATAAGGAAGATATTTATTCGCTGTCTGGAGTGGAATGTTTAGTAGGAGAAATAAGACAAACCCATAAATAACAATTTAACGAAGCGCATTGGCTAAGCCTATTTTTCAAAATGTAGTAGACACACCACAGATGATCCGTGAGATTATTGTGGATGATAGAGTCATACACATTTGTATTTTGACTTTGTAGCTACGACTTTAAGACATGTTTGAAAAAAGAGATACAACGGGTTCATGGGAGTTTTGTTAATGAGGACAATGAAGGAGAGTTGCTAAAATTTCTTGGGGACAGAAATGGAAGGAACCGACATTCCAGAAAAAATGAAGAGTGTGGAAGAAGTAAGGCTGGATAGGCATTTGAGGGGTTTGGAATCTGGAGTCTCTGTCACAGAACCATGAGGATAAAACGGGACACATTGAGTGGGGCTGTCTTCGGTGGGAGTTTGAACTCCGTGGAGCGGGGAGCCACCTTGGAGTGAGCAGCGTGACAAACGATCAGAGGAAGAGTTGAAGAGAAAAGGGAAGCAACAGGTTTTGTCGCCCCCCTTCTGTGGTCTGCTCTGGAGACACAGAGCTTCCTCTTTTTACCCTCAGGTATCCTACAGGCTCAAAGCCCATGTGTTCTTTCTAGTGTGTTCTGCGGTGAGCCACAAAGTGGGTTTTATTGAGGAATGAGAGCCTCCAGATAACTGAAGCCCACTCCCTCAAGTACCAACCCTGAAAAAAAAAGTTTCTCATCCTCTTCTCAGGTTCCACCTCAGTCTCTTCCTCTTCCTCAGGTTCCGCCTCAGGCTCCTCCTCTTCCTCAGGTTCCGCCTCAGGCTCCTCCTCTTCCTCAGGTTCCGCCTCAGGCTCATGGTCTTCCTCAGGTTGCGCCTCAGGCTCATGGTCTTCCTCAGATTCCACCTAAGACAAAGGGAACAGTTTGCACCACTTAGCTCAAGCCATCAGCTTTGTTCCCTCTTCTTTTTCCCTCACCACAATCCCCAATCTGTCAGCCACATGCCCCAAATCTCTCTCTACCCTCATCGGTACCACTTTGACCGATCCAAGGTTCTGGAGAGACGCAGTCGCCTCCTCCTGTCTTGCTCCTCCTCTGATCCATTTCCAAACCTCAAATCTGATGCTGCTGCTCACCTGGTTGAGTGTTCCAGTAACTTCCCTGTTGTCCTTAGCAGGGAGTTCAAGATGGCTGACAAGGCAACATAGGAACTGGCCTGGACAGCTCCCATAGAAGCTTTACTGTGTCTAGCATCCAATGGCTGTCTTTTTTTTTTATGTTTATTTATTTATTTTGAGAGAGAGAGAGAGAGAGTGGGGGAGGGACAGAGAGAGAGAGAATCCCAAGCATGCTCC